GCCAAACCCTGCACCACAAAGAGGAAGTCAAACCCTGCGCCACAAAGAGGAAGTCAGACCTTGCACCACAAAGATGAAGCCAGACCCTACACCACAAAGAGGAAACCAAACCCTGCGTCACAAAGAAGAAGCCAATCCCTGCACCACAAAGATGAAGCCAAACCCTGCACCACAAAGAGGAAGCCAAACCCTGCACCACAAAGATGAAGCCAAACCCTGCACCGCAAAGAGGAAGCCAAACCCTGCACCACAAAGAGGAAGCCAATCCCTTGCACCACAAAGATGAAGCCAAACCCTACACCACAAAGAGGAAGCCAAACCCTGCGTCACAAAGAAGAAGCCAAACCCTGCACCACAAAGATGAAGCCAAACCCTGCACCACAAAGAGGAAGCCAAACCCTGCACCACAAAGATGAAGCCAAACCCTGCACCGCAAAGAGGAAGCCAAACCCTGCACCACAAAGAGGAAGCCAATCCCTTGCACCACAAAGATGAAGCCAAACCCTACACCACAAAGAGGAAGCCAATCCCTGCACCACAAAGAGGAAGCCAAACCACTGCACCACAAAGAGGAAGCCAAACCCTGCACCACAAAGAGGAAGCCAAACCACTGCACCACAAAGAGGAAGCCAAACCCTGCACCACAAAGATGAAGCCAAACCCTGTACCACAAAAAGGAAGCCAATCCCTGCACCACAAAGAGGAAGCCAATCCCTGCACCACAAAGAGGAAGCCAAACCCTTCACCACAAAGAGGAAGCCAAACCACTGCACCACAAAAAGGAAGCCAAACCCTGCACCACAAAGATGAAGCCAAACCCTGCACCACAAAGAGGAAGCCAAACCACTGCACCACAAAAAGGAAGCCAATCCCTGCACCACAAAGATGAAGCCAAATCACTGCACCACAAAGATGAAGCCAAACCCTACACCACAAAGAGGAAGCCAAACTCTGCACCACAAAGAGGAAGTCAAACCCTAAGTCATAAAGATGAAGCCAAACCACTGCACCACAAAGAGGAAGCCAAACCCTTCACCACAAAGAGGAAGCCAATCCCCTGCACCACACCGATATACAGCAATTCTGATCTGACATAACCCGTAGCTCTGTGCAAATCGTGATATCAACTCACAATTACCGCCCTGTTAACTTTAGCAACCTCAGCCTTACTTGTATTAAGTTTAATACAACTAAATATTACATTTCAGGTCAATACAGCCTTTTTTTGTTTGTGTAAACCCAGTGATATGATTTGATGCATTCACTTGTAAGATATTAGATTTATATTTCGTGTAAAATATTAGATTTATATTCCGTGAGGTTAGTGAGATCTGACGAATATTTCTGTCTGTGTTCGATTACCTATTTCCAGTCTATATTGGTACCAGTTAAAGATCTTCCCGTTTTCTTCCTCAAACCAGTTTCATTTGGCAGCTAATTAGTGTAAATAGAAGTGTGTGTTGAGGCGTTTTACAACTCATACAATGAGGAAATAACTCATCACGTTAACATTACAATAAAGAAAAAAGAAAATTCCTGGCTTGGAAATATGGTTAGATTTATAGAACGCGTTGCCAGATGCTATATGTAGAGTCTCTTGAAAATAAATATATAGAAGATAAATAAAATATATATATAAAATATAGATATATATATATATATACACAGAAGCCCTGTGGCTGCAGTATTTGTATTGCATTGCAAGCAGTGACAGCCTCTGATGCAGCTTAGAGGGACAGATGATAAATTCTTTGCAGCAGAGTGGTAGGATAGAAGTTGCAATCCCAGATCACTTCAGACTTTGCAGCAGGACGGTAGGATAGAAGTTGCAATCCCAGATCACTCCAGACTTTGCAGCAGAGTGGTAGGATAGAAGTTGCAATCCCGGATCACTTCAGACTTTGCAGCAGGACGGTAGGATAGAAGTTGCAATCCCAGATCACTCCAGACTTTGCAGCAGAGTGGTAGGATAGAAGTTGCAATCCCAGATCACTTCAGACTTTGCAGCAGGACGGTAGGATAGAAGTTGCAATCCCAGATCACTTCAGACTTTGCAGCAGGACGGTAGGATAGAAGTTGCAATCCCAGATCACTCCAGACTTTGCAGCAGGACGGTAGGATAGAAGTTGCAATCCCAGATCACTCCAGACTTTGCAGCAGAGTGGTAGGATAGAAGTTGCAATCCCGGATCACTTCAGACTTTGCAGCAGGACGGTAGGATAGAAGTTGCAATCCAGGATCACTCTAAACGCATGCCTTAACCCACTGACATGGTCAATGATGCCCAACTTGGGCTCCACTGGTACCCAAAAGGAATATTGAAGCGCCGAGCTGTTACCTCTAAACATTTTCTCATTCATTTATCACGTTTCAGTAATTTCATTGGGTACAGGAAAATGCTGTAATTTTTTTTCTATCGTGAACCAATGGAAGCAATAGATTAACGGAGAATTTTATGATTTACGAGTTAAATCAAAGGGTGTAACATTGTAAATACAACAGTATAGTGAAGAATGTTAGTGATGACTTAAAATTATTTAGTTTAGGTATTAACGGTAAAATATAACAGCTTTTTTTATTATTAATAAGTTCCCCCCCCTATTATCAAGTTAAAACTTAGGTTGTAACTTACAAATACAACAGTTTATTGGGGCAGCTAAGTCATAACCTAATATTACTGAATACAAATTTGGAAAATATAGATGAAAACGGGTCAAGTTGTTGCTCCAGTTTGTTCCACCTATTAAGTTAAGACTCAAGAGTGCTCAAGAGAATAAGACGAAACAAAATATTATCTGCAAATTTATTTTTACTTTATTTCAGAGACAAAAACACTTGTTGTTGTCATTTATTATTCAACAAAAATAGGGACACGTGGCGGTCGAGACACATAAATGAGGACACGTGGCAGTCGAGACACATAAATGGGGACACGTAATGGTCGAGACACCATTAATTTGCATGTAAACATGTACGTCTTAGATGGTTGTCAAATATTTGGCATACACTTGTCAATTTCTCTTTTTTTGATACTGTCATATACATCTCATATATATGACATAAACGCGTCATATGTTTCACGAAAACCTGTTATATGCTGTCAATCGCAATGTAGTCAGTGTCAGATATCGCATATCACACTTTATTGAAAGCACTGGTGCAAGAATTGACGTATTCATGTATACTATGAATATATATATTCATAGGTGTACGAATGTTTACTTTCAGCACTGCTACTGTCGCCACTACTACCACCATTACTATCACTACCACTACTACTACTACTACTACCACTACTACACCCTCTGTTGCTATAACTAACGTGTTACTGCCCATTAAAGAAAATGCGAGCACAGGCTTGTATAAATTATCACTACCCTCATCGCCTTCCACACACGCCTCGTCAAGACTCGAACACACCTGACACCAGCCGCTGCAAACCTGACACCAGCCATTGTACAACCAACGCCAGCCACTGTACACCTGACTCCACTCACTGCACACCTGATCGCTGCAATTTTACACCTGATACCAGCCATTACAGACCTGACACCAGTCAATGTGCACCTTGATATCAGCCACAATACATCTGACACCAGCCACTATACACTACCCTCTATTCACTTGACACCTGTCACTATACACCTGGCACCACCATTCAACAGTGAGGTTCCATGACCCAAGCAATAGTACATAAATTAAGGGAGGTCTTCCCTGTATACTGAATGACCCACTCTGTTTTGATTCTGTAAGTAACCCCCCAACCATCGTCTTGGAAGGTGAAGGAGCATAGGGAGGGGGCAGTGGTGCATGGGAGCGTGGTGGAGCATGGGAGAGGTAGTGGAGCATGGGAGGAGTAGAGTAATACAGCAGAGTAGCGGAGCATCCAAAGAAATCTGCAACCGTCACCTTGAAGCACAACAAGAAAAAAAATAGCGACAAACAGCTTTTACAAGGAAGAGTTAATCTTTTTTTTTTTTTTTTTTTACTGCGTGTAATGGAGATACAATTATGTAATGAAGCACCGAGGACGTTCAGTGGATAATTAGAAATCAGTATTCTGAAGCAGAATGTCTCTTTCAGATCTGTATTAACAGTTACATAAAACTAAGTGATATTAGTTTCCATCTATGACTCTTAAGACTTCAAATGAAGAGATGTGTAACAAGAGTGAGAGGCAGAGATGTGTGTGTGTAACAGGAGTGAGAAAGAGATTTGTAACAGGAGTGAGGAAGAGATATGTAACAGGAGTGAGGGAGAGAGATACCACAGAACAACGTCTTAGACAAATGGAAGAAGAATAAAACAAAATATAACTTCGAATCTGAAGAAGAAAAAGAAGAGAAGAGGAGAGTGGACGAATCAGAATAACGGTTAAAATAACCACATTCCAGGAAGGCAGAAGACTATTCAAGAAAAAGTGTTTATAATAGTTTAAGCAAGTATAGGTCAGGAACAGCCACTGTAGCAGCAGCAGCAGCAGCAGCCATAGCAAGCAACAGCAACAGCAGCAGTAGCAACAGCAGCGGCGCTAGCAGCAGCGACAGCAGCAGCAGCAGCAGTCGTAGCCAGCAGCAGGCAGCAACAGGCAGAGCCCACAACACCCAGCTCTGCTCCTCCCTGTATAGCCAGACGTCTAGAGCACGTCTGGCTACGCCTCTCATCTTCGTTGCGACATCAAACACCTCCACCATTAGCCCCACAACAGCCCATAACAAACAGAGACGTATGGCTGAAACAAACACCAACACACACAAGAAAATTCGGTCATAAAAATTGCCTCCGTCTGGGTCATGGCGAGAGACGAGAAAGTGAAAGATCTTAATCATTACCGTCTCGTGGAAGAGATCAAAATCGAAGTATTTCTAGAACTACGGATGGGAGATTATTGGGAGGAAATGTCAAAGCGTTTTGGCTTACACAGATCACTACCCACACAGGCGGTCATTAGAGCACAAGTGTTAAGGAGGGTTAAAGGATGTTCTCTGGCAGCAACTTACCTTTCAGCTTGTCTGGTAAACCGAGAGAGGATGTCGCTTCCTTGAGACGGTATCTTTTCCTCGAGAGAGTCTCCGCTGGAGGCTGGGAGGTGGTCGGAGACCTCAGAGGCTCCCAGCGTCCCCACCACCACCAGCAACAACACTGTCCTCACATAGTTCATCATAACTATTGTGTCTAGCACTTTGCACTCCAACATATATCAAGAACCACTTTTGAAACTCGAGAACGATATTTCGGGCTTTTATATAAATGAAAACTGTGTTTTTTCTCCTTATGGGAGAAGAGTTGTCTGAGCGAGAAGAGGCACTAATGACTCGATCACACCCTTACAGAGTCCTGAGCAGTGCCGCCGCTTCTCATCGTAACTGCTGTACATAGTTAGCCAAATTTTCAGGTACACACGCGTCCGCAACTTTCATGACACTTGTACGAGGTGGGCGTGGGAGGTCCTGCACGCGCCTCGAGTACGGTGGGTGGCGTGGGCGGCGTGGGGATGGGGGGGCAGGTGTGTGGCGCGGGTGGTGGGTGGCGTGTGACTGGCCAGGCGTGTGCCGCTCTAGTGCCACACTACGCGTAACGCTGTGGCTGCTCCACCCCCGGGAGATGGCCTTCACCTGACGTCACAGTCACGTCACGCCCTCTGTGGTGCCCACACGGGCGGCCGGTGGCACTGGTGGCACGGGCGGCCGGTGGCACTGGTGGCACGGGCGGCCGGTGGCACTGGCGACACGGGCGGCCGGTGGCACTGGCGACACGGGCGGCCTACAGGCGACACGGACGCAATAATACGATCCTCAGATAACTATTTTGAATGCGTTGAAATCACCCCAAATTCCCTTAGGCATATAAGAAGAAAAACCAACAAGAATGCATTGAAGGTTGTTAAACGTGGGCGTGGTGGGAGAGGAAATATAAAGAGCGGAAAAGTGGGCGTGGGGGAGAGTGGGCGTGGAGCCGCGGGCGGGCGGGCGAGGGGGTGACAAGTGTGTGTGTGGCGAGACTGGTCTCCAGAGCGCGACTAACATAGTGGCCGCCACCGACCTGCTGCCCCAGACCAACACCAGCCACTTTCACTCTTCCCGCTGCTCCCTCCCTCCCTCCCTCCCTCCTGCTAGCCTGGGCCTCCCTCCCTCCTGGTAGCCTGGGCCTCCCTCCCTCCTGGTATCCTGGGCCTCCCTCCCTCCTGGTAGCCTGGGCCTCCCTCCCTCCTGGTAGCCTGGGCCTCCCTCCCTCCTGGTAGCCTGGGCCTCCCTCCTGCTAGCCTGGGCCACCCTCCTGCCTGGTAGCCTGGGCCTCCCTCCCTCCTGGTAGCCTGGGCCTCCCTCCCTCCTGCTAGCCTGGGCCTCCCTCCCTTCCTCCCTCCCTCCCTTTACCCCGGTTTTTCCTCATTCAATTCAACTGTTCTCTGTGACAATTTCATCCATATAGAGAGAAGACATAATTGAAGATAACGTTACTTAAACCATTCGTTCCGCCCTTAAACCATTCTTTCCGCCCTTAAACCATTCGCTAACGGTTTTCCGCTCGTCACCCACCCACAGGTTATCTTATCCAGCTATCCTCCGTCCAGTCGTTGGGAGAGAGAGAGAGAGAGAGAGAGAGAGAGAGAGAGAGAGAGAGAGAGAGAGAGAGAGAGAGAGAGAGGTCAATAGAAACCTGGAGACTGTGAAAAAAGCACTGTGACATTTTGAAAACATTTCTAAATGCTCAGAACGCTAAACAAGCATCAGCTATTGTTTACCCCCCAACGGTGTGTTGATCTTCGAGGGATCCGCAGTGCGTTGCTCCATGACCGCGTTTACACAGTGTTATCTGTGCAATATTGACCTCCAAAGGTTACCACTGACTTAGAAATGATGAAGTCTTAGTTCTGTTAAGCTATGGTCTTAGTTCTGTTAAGCTATGGTCTTAGTTCTGTTAAGCTTTGGTCTTAGTTCTGTTAAGCTATGGTCTTAATTCTGTTAAGCTATGGTCTTAATTCTGATAAATATATCTACTGGTAGTTTGAGGAAATATTATTATTATCTACTGGTAGTTTGAGGAAGTATTATTTACTGGTAGTTTGATGAAGTATTATATACTGGTAGTTTGAGGTAGCATTAATATCTACTGGCAATTTGAGGTAGCAGAAATATCTACTGAAAGCTTGAAGAAGTAGTAGTAACATCTACTGGTAGCTTGAAGTAGCATCAATATCTACTGGTTGCTTAAGGCAACCAGTATATATATATATATATATATATATATATATATATATATATATATATATATATATATATATATATATATATATATATATATATGTTTTCATCCAAAACTTTAAAGTAGATTCTTTATTATGGAAGCTGAAAGACTATTTCATCAACTGTAACACTAACCAAACAGTACCAGAGCGAAGGGTAACTCTGTTCATCAGAAAATGAACATTTTAAGACAAATATAAATATTACATCACTACAACACATCGGACACAACGAAAGACAAAGTTAACATTCTAATCCTTTGGTTAAATTAAAACTGTGTCAATGGAAACTGCAGTACACAACGTTCTTGTATCTTTCACCCTCGCAGGAGGCAGAAACAAATGGGCAAAGTTTCTTTCACCCTGAATGCCCCTGTTACCTAGCAGTAAATAGGTACCTGGGAGTTATTCAGCTGTCACGGGCTGCTTCCTGGGGGTGGAGGCCTGGTCGAGGACCGGGCCGCGGAGACACTAAAAGCCCCGAAATCATCTCAAGATAACCTCAAGATAACCTCACTCCACATTGACCCGAAAACTCTCCTGTTTTGCCCCTTTTGGAAGTATGAGCTTTGTGAATCTCTCTCTTAGATTTGATAAAAGCGCGATCTGGCCACACGTTAGGTACAAATTAAAGTCTGTTATCAGCTAGTTTGTTTCCTACAGCATCAAGTACGATAACAAACACGAGAGTTACTGCATTAGCTGACAATACACAAAAATGATGCGGTCTAAGATCTTATATTCTTTTCTGTACCTCAACTCATCACACACACCCAATAGGCTCAGGAACCTCACACCTGTTGATTGACGGTTGAGAGGCGGGACCAAAGAGCCAGAGCTCAACCCCCGCAAGCACAATTAGGTGAGTACACACACACACACACACACACACACACACACACACACACACACACACACACACACACACACACACACACACACACACACACATACACACACACACACACACATAGCTTCAAGTGTAGATATGATAGAGCCCAGTAGGCTCAGGAACCTGTTCATTAGTTGATTGACAGTTGAGAGGCGGGACCAAAGAGCCAGAGCTCAACCCCCGCAAGCACAACTAGGTAAATACAACTTGGTAACTAGGTAAGTACATCAGACTGGCTATATACTAAAAACCCAAAGCTAAACCCCAACAAGCACAACTAGATGAACACACCCACACGCGTACACCCAAACTCACACACTGAACCTGTCTCTCAAACCAATATTATCAGCTGCTAATCCTCAGGAATCTGAATAAAGAATAATTTAGGATCATATATGCCACATATGTCAGACCAATACAGGAATATGCAGTGCCAGCGTGAATACATTACCTTATTATTACAAACAGTTGCTAAAGAAATTCGAGTGTACCGGCAGTGAAGTCCGAAAGCTGAGAGGATAAATTGTGAAGGCCTACGAAATTAGACACTAGTCATTGGAAGATAAAGACTTTATTGGAGCATGATTACCATATACAAAATACTCAAAGGAGTAGCCAACAGCAGATATTTGTTGTGCACTAACAAGGAAATATTGGTGATGCTAAGGATCCAGATGAGCCATAGAGATATTGAAGAGAATTGCTTTAAAATTAGACCAGTAAACAAAAAAAATTCAGTGCTAGTATAAGACATATATTTAACTGGCAGCCAGTCTCAGCACATGTAGCTATCAAAAGAGAGAGAGAGAGAGAGAGAGAGAGAGAGAGAGAGAGAGAGAGAGAGAGAGAGAGAGAGAGGGGGGGGGGGGAAATCAAGTTAACTCGATCAAATGTTGGCTTCATGGCTATATAGTCGTAATGGCTTGGTGCTTTTTTCCTCATAGTTCCCTTCCCTACCAGCGCCTAGTTGTGTGTGTGTGTGAGAGAGAAAGAGAGAGAGAGAGAGAGAGACAGAGAGAGAGAGAGACAGAGAGAGAGAGAGAGAGAGAGAGACAGAGAGAGAGACAGAGAGAGAGAGAGAGAGAGAGAGAGAGAGAGAGAGAGAGAGAGAGAGAGAGAGAGAGAGAGAGAGAGAGAGAGAGAGAGAGAGAGAGAGAGAGAGAGAGAGAGAGAGAGAGAGAGAGAGACAGAGAGAGAGAGAGCTTGTCATGGCCAAGCCTTCAGCATTGGCTCTCCCTCTACGCGGTTGAAACTCGCCTCAGGACACCAGGACGGTATTTTCACAGCTCTGGTCAGTGTATGTTTTTGTCTTAGTCAAGGCCTCATTGAAAGTTATGGGGAGCGGTGGTCATGCTCACCCCTGTGTCATATGCCACTTAGTAAGTGTCAGGTCTACATATCTTACTCTTCTGTTACCTTGACACTGTACATTATTCTAGAGATATTTCCTAGAAAGTTGTACAAAAAAAATTCACCGAGCTTTTCAGTGGGTGTTTAATTATAAATGCAAACAAAATTGCTTCAAGCGCTGCGTTAGTATTTATTGGTTCACAGACGCACAAGCTACGTATTTCACGTGAAGGTGGACAGACGCAGTAATTGCGTCAGCATATGATGATGGACAGACGCATCAACTGCGTCAATACATGATGGTGGACGGACACAGTAACTACGTCAATAAAGAATGATAGAGAGACGCACAATCTGCATCAGTATATGACTGTATACAGACATCAACTCCGTCAATATATGATGACGGGCAAGAATTACACCACTCTTTATTTGCGCAACATTTCCGAATCAGGGGGAAAGCTTAGAGTGTCCTTGCTTTACATTTCTCACAACAGCAAATCATTTTCCCCGTGCAAATACGCAACATGTCAATAGATCCTGTCTTGTCCAAAGAAACGCAAGCGTCATTCCGCGACTTGAAACGCCGGGGAGAAACTACCTCGTGTCTGTCATTCAAGAGATCATTTGGGTGAGGAATAGTACTGGGGGATTATATTACCCTCGACCTCGTCTCAATTACCTTAACCTTAACTTCCCCCCTCCTCACCCCGCTGCAATGTTGCTTCTACGGCGTCTCAGACTATGCAGTTTGCAACTAGAGGTTAAGGTTGCAAAAGACTCGGTCAGCCTTCTTATTTAGATTTCTTGTGTTATATCTTGTGACTTACATAACACGGTATACTTATGAGAGAGAAAGTTATATATATATACACACATTCAGTTTAACTTTAAATGGGCATTTGCTGTTGGACTGCTGTAGGCAGCTCTTATTTATACCGAACCAAATTCATTCATGTATATGTCTAACCTACGGTTGAAACACTCCAGCGATTCTACGTCTATTATGTTTCCCGGTAATTTGTTCCACAAATCAACGACTCTATTCCCAGGCCAGTATTTACCCAGGTCTTTCTTGAATCTAAACTTATCCAATTTGAATTCACTGTTTCGTGTTCTATTTAACACTATTCCAGCACAAACCAATAGAATAATAGTTATATTATATAATAGAATAATAATAGAATATAATGGAATAAAACACATTAGAATAAAATGATAATATATTAAAATAGAATAATAATATAATAGAATAATATTAGTAAATAGGATAAGTTTAGATTTAGAAAAGACCTTGATAAAACCGTTTTTAGGAATTTGTTATTGACTGGATCCATATCCATCATGACGACTCATGGCTACTCATGGCGACTCATGGCGACTCATGACGACTCATGACGACTCATGGCGACTCATGACGACTCATGACGACTCATGACGACTCATGGCGACTCGTGACGACTCATGAC